ATCAACAAATCCATGAACTTAATGCAAGAACATTAAATTAATACATTCAGAATCGAGTGTTGATTTAAGGTTCTTAGAGTTTCAAGTTTGAAGAATCAATTTGAATGAATATATGTGGATTGAAACCATGAATGAGTGAGTAAATTCTAATAAGAAAGAATGACTTCAAGTTTTATAAAATGAATACTAATCCCAACACCTTTGAAATATGAATTTCTTCTCAATCCTACTATTTATGCTAATTGTAAATCTTTTTAAGGAATCATGATTCTTAATCCTTGTATCAAGTTCTTTTTACAAGTTGATGATAGCTTATTCACGTTTTAATTATTTATAAATCTCTAAGGATGATATTTGATCTATACTACTTCTGACTCAATACACTTGCTGAATCAAAAAGTTAACAATGCCTTATTTTGTGACAAAAATGACTCTTTACATTCTTGTACCAAGACCTAGATTTACTCCTGATTTTGTCTCTATCACCCTTCTATTCTCTCTTCTGGTTTCTCCCCCTATTCTCAATAACAAACACTTTTGAATGAGATGAAGTACTATGTGTCTTCCTTTTCATCTCCTCATTAAGCACACCACTCTTTGCCATTTGTAAAGAAACATCACCATTAGGAGCAACATTAATCATGGAAACCTAGAATGTCTCCCATGAATCAGGTTGAGAATTTAATAGGAATAGTCCCTATAAATCTTCATCAAATTTTATACTAACTCCAAATAGTTGATCAAAACATCCTTGAAATTCACTTAGGTGATCTCTAATGAAAGTCCTCTCCTTGTACTTCAAGTCCACAAAATTCTTCGGCCAGTACAATTTATTAGTCACTTATTTAGAAGTATATAAGGACTCAAGCTTATCTTAGAGGGTTCTTGCATGTTCTCATTAGCAATAAAAATTATAGACATTATCATCAACAAATTGTTTGATAAATTCACACACTTATTGATGCTCAAAATCCCATTCTTCATCAGACTTGGATTCTAGCTCATTGGAAGCAAATACAAGAAGATGCAAATTCTTCACAAATAACAAGTCCTTCATCTTTCCCTTGCACATGTGATAATTTTCTCCATTCAAAGAGATTATCTTCGTATGTGCCTCCATTATTCAAGCAAGTCAAACAACCCCTTAACCAAAGAGCTCTGATACCATTCTCATTGGGGAAAACCCAACACAATAACCACTACTAATTGAGAAAGATTAATAACGTAACATAAATTAAATCTCTCTACTTGCAAGAATCTGCAAAGAACACCAACAAAATAGAGCAAAAAAGATAACCCAAACATACAAGAGACACAAATATTTTTAACTTAGAAAACCTCTTAATGTAATGATAAAAACCACGAGTTGTCCAAACAAAAAAAAACTCCACTATGATCAACAAATGGTACAAGAGAGTCTCCAAATAATGCACCAAATAGTGCTTACAATAGGTCAAAGCAAAACTGAGCACAATTGTTTACAATTAAGAAATAAGATGAAAAGCCTTAAAATAGAGCTGTTACTAGAATAAGCTTTTCTCCCACTTCATAATTCCTTTCGAAAATCCAACCATTGAATATGAAACGTCGTGTCATATGAACCTACTACCCAAAAATCATATTTATCTAACGAAAAACGAATCTCTAATTGTAATTCAAAACATGTTGCCCGTGGATATGTAATATGAAATTTTCTTTCTTCTTTTTTCTTTATATTTTGTTTTTGTTTTCTCGAGTTGAGTCACACACACTATATATATATATATATATATATTCACTCATATTGAATATGAAATGTTGCATCGTATAAACCTACTGTCCAAAAATCAGCCTTATCCAATGATAAACGAATCACTAGTTGCAATTCAACAAATGTTGCCCGTGGATATATATGCGATATGTAACTTTCTTTCTTCTCTTTTCTCTATATTTTGTTGTTGTTTTCTCAAATTAAGTCACTCTTTTTATATTCTCTCAAATTGAATATGAAACATCGCGTTATATGAACTTAGCATCCTAAAATCAGCCTTATCCAACGATAAACGAATCTCCAGTTGCAATTCAATAAATATTACCCATTTTGTTGTTATTTTCTCAAATTAAGTCACTCTCTCTCTATCCTAATCTTACTCTTCTCCATTTAGTTAAGTGAGACATAATGGGCTTATACAATCTATATCTATTCTCCATATAGAAAGAAAGTCCAAAACCCAACCATTAGCTCTAAAATTGTCACTTCTCTATCATTTTTTCTTGTTAGAATTTGTTAAATAATTTCCTTGCTAAATGAATGTTGTCAACTGTAAAATGTTGTAAAGAACATACGTATTTGTCAATGATAGAAAATGAGTTTGAATTAGTTTTTTCTTATATATATATATATATATATATATATATATAGAGAGAGAGAGAGAGAGAGTGAGAGAGAGAGAGAGAAAGAAAGAAAGAAATAGAGAGGAGGGATCCGTATACTGAAGGAGTAAGTCTACCTAAACTTACTTCTTTCAATAACTCATGTTTTATAACAAATTTCAATGATCCAACCGTTAAATTTAAAGTTCTTAATGAATATATCAAATTTGCAAATTTTTAAAAAATTTGAAAATCATTTGATACTTCGTTCCATTAATTCAAATCAATATATAAATTGATTTTAGGATTATCCGTCAATTTGAATTAATGAAATGAAGTATCAAATAATTTTCAATTTTTTTTAAAATTTACAGATTTAATCTATGAATTAAGTATATAAGGGGTTATAATAACACCGGTGTAACTTTTAATAAGTGTTACACCGCTCAATAACTTTATATTAAATGTGAATTTTGTAAATTCAACCGTTAGATTGAAAGTTCATATCTCTTAAATCATATATACAAAATTTTATATTAATCCAAGATGATTTGATACTTTATTTTTATAAAACAAAATAGACGTAACATATTCATTTCAAAATATACTAAAATATGAACACTCTGATCACCTTCAAATTTTTTTCAATTTTAACAAAATTTGATATACACATATAAAGTGATATGAACTTTCAATCTAACGGTTGGATTTACAAAATTCACATTTAATATAAAGTTATTGAGTGGTGTAACACTTGGTAAAAGTTACACCGGTGTAATTCTAACCCCCTTCATATATATATATATATATATA